CCTATGCCCCGCAGAAGGGGCACAGTCCCGTCTGGCACTGTCACCGAAACCGTGGCCACCTCTGAGCCTCTTGTTGTCATTGGTCCCTTTGATGGTCTCCCTCCTTCCTGCTGCCCCGAGCACGACATCCTTCTCCAGAGATGGCCTCTCCTGACAGCAGGTCCGGAGTAGGGGGACCAAGGCTCGCCACGCTCAAGTCCAAGGAGCATTCCGGCTGCGTGTCTTCCAAGACATCTGCCCAGGACGCCTCCTTAGTCTTCCCTTTCCTTAGAACAATAACAAAAAGCCAGTTGCCATTGGGCTGGTGCCGGCTCATCGCAGCCTCCTGCGGGCTGGAGTGGAACGGTGGTCACAGGGTCGCTACCCAGGAGAACCAAGCCGTGAGCACCCAAGTCCTTGGCCTTTCGAGCGAATTACCCTCCGGCTCTCTGAGGAGAACATTTTGCTCTCTGCTTTTACCTTCTCTTTGCCGAAATGCTGATACAACAGCTGGCTCTGTGGCAGCTAGTTCAAGAGTCCAAGGGCAGGTTGACGTCCCCTAGGAAGGGGAGGGGGTAGGAGTGTGGCCAGAGGGGCGAGGGGGTGAGCAGACAGGCGTTTGGCTCCCTGGTGACCGTTTGGCTCCCTGGTGACAGGGGCTACCCCACCATTTCTGAACTGCTTTATCCCGGGCTTTTTCTTCTTTTTTTTTATTTTTTATCCCGGGCTTTTTCTACAGGAAGGTAAAAATCGTCCTGTAATTTACCTGAGCAAGGCTTGCCTGGCTCTCTGTTGTACAGCCACATGCCAGTCTCAAATGATTCAGAAGTGATCCAGCGTCTTCTTCTTCTAATACTTGCATACTTAAGATGAATATAGATTTTGTTTTAAAACTTGCTATGAACCTGCTGAGCAGTATCTACTATCACTTCCCTTTCAGTCAGGTGGGAAATTTAGCCCAATTTCCATTCTGTCGCTCACCGGCTTCACTGCCCTCCAAGGTTCTTGTCGCCTGGAGTAGCACTTCCAAGCGGTGTGATGGGTTGGACAGCCGTGTCCTGTCTGGACAAGAGATACAGCTTTCTGGCCTCTCTGGTCACCTCTGTTCCCCAGCGGCTCCCCAAGCACGTCTTGGTGGCGGGGTTCGTGGTTCCGTGAATCTCTCTGGGTGGTCCACCTCTAGGTCCTTGCATGTGTGAAAGGGTCGTTTAGTCCCCTTAACATCTCAACAGCATGCCAGCTGGGTTTATCTTCCTCTGCTTGAAAGATGGCCCTTGGGGACGTTGGGGGTGCTTCTCCTGTCTCCTTGCACCCAGAAGAAGCTGGCGTCCATGGGACACTTGTTCCTTAGCAGGTAACCCGTGGGTCCTCCTCCTCTCTCAACATGTACCCTGTGCCGTCACAGGGGGGCAGGTGGCTGCCTCCGGATGTGGCGCTTCATGTGCAGTGTGGGCAACTCCCTGGGAGTCCTTGCGCCGGCCTGGTGGCAGTGAGACCCCACGCAGCCCCACCTGTTGGAGGAGGCAGGGCCTCCTAGTCCAGCGGAACCTGGAGGACCACCTGCTCCAAATCCCACACCTCTCTCTGAACCGCACAAGCAATGCAGGAAGCACAGCCCCCTGCAGGACCCCATGGGATCCAAGCAGGAGACCCTCTGGGTGTACAGCAGGGATGGAAGCACTGGGCCACTAACCGTGGCTGGGGTTCTCTGCCACCTGTACACCAGGGCTGCCGCACACCTTGCACACAGGTGCCTGGCTCAGGAAGTGAGGGGGGGACTGAGACCCAGCCCAATGCCCCCATGAGCTGGGGGCTAACCTTGACCAGAATAAGTGGTGCCTTCGTCCAATCTCCCCAAGCCTGCACTCTCTCCTGCTCTCTAGTTAGGGGGTGTGATAGGTTTTTTGTGTGCCAATTTAGCTCCCGTAGGAATATATGGGCGGGGTTTAGCCTGTCAATCAAGCAGCAGCATGATTGGAGGGCTAACAAGATAAATGCTGCTCCTTTAGGGTGCCTTCTCTCCCTTCCTCCCCTCCCGTTCTCCCTGGAGACGGGCCACACACACTTCCTCTGCTTTCATCTCCCATTGACAAGCCACACAGAGGCTCACTGAGACCTTTGAGAGCCCTGGAGATGCTTCCACCATCATTGGATCCACAAGACTCTGCACCCACCGGCCTGTGGCCATCCCAAATTCTCCATCATTTTGCATGTGCTTTGTGAGTCTGAAGAGGAATTTATGGACTAGTATCAGACTTATGGACTAATATCGGACTTAGGGACTTGATCTGGAACTGGGCCGGGATGTTTTCTCAATATGCAATTACTCTTGGATATAAAGCTGTTTCTTACGTGTGTCTGACTCTTTGCTATATGAAGCTCTTTCTTCCACCAGATGAGCGTCCCTGGATCTGTTTGTCTAGTCAACTCGGCCTCACACAAGGGGCTTGGGGAAGGGATGGGGCAGGCCCCGCGAAGTCCGTCTCTCTTTAGATTTGGGGAATCACTGAGAAGTCTCAGAAAATGGGGTGCTCGTGCCATGGCTTCCCCAGGATGGGGTCTGGGTCTTCTCTTTTCCCTTATAAACCCTGCTTTAGAAGCTGCCCCTCTGGTGGTGCCCGCCTGTTAACG